GTTGTTGTGGAATAATCGATCTCATACTTATGGAGACACTTATTTTAACTAAAAATACCATAAATATATCAATGTAATTATCTCTGTATGTTAATAATTCTTTGAAAAACCTAAATTAAAAATAGAGCACAATGATTTTACATTCACACAGTTGTTATAAAGACTGGGAGTGGCACTATCGTTGAATATTGATTTCCTTAAAGCCAAAAAGTCAACATTGGGATTATTTTCCCACTTACCTCTTTTTCGAATGCAAGAAAACAAAACTAAAATATTTTGTGAGAACATATGTCAAGATGTATTTAGGATGAGTTTCCGTGTGAATCTATCTATTTGAACAGATGATAACTTCCAATGCTTTTGCTTTTCAAGTTTAACTGGCCGTTCATTACCTTGACCAAACACGTTTCTACTATCTAGTAAAACAAAGAGCCAACCTGTTACACAAACAAATTCTGTTTTTGCCTCACTATCATGGAAATTTGAATGTTCTGGTTTTTCTCAAACAATCAGTGGCATCTACTACACTTGAATTTGGTGTATAGTCATAGGCAGCTAATCTCACATCCATTTTCTTATTATAAAATTTTATGTGTCTTCCATATGTTTTTCTTTGAGGATGTGGAGTTTACTTATAAAATTCATTTTTATTCCATACGTTGGGGAATATCTTTTTTAAAATGTTAGCAAACGTATTTCTATCCAGTTTCAACATATGACATGTGTCAAAATTGCACTGATGGGTGTTTGGTTGTTGGATGCCAGAAACTCATACAAAAATGACCAGCCTCCGTATTGCATTCCAGCTGCTTGAAAGTTTGCAAATCAGTACTTGTCCCATTACATATTATAAAATACACCCTCACTCGTACAATTTCTTGTTTTGGATAAACACATTAATCAATTGTGTTTATAGATCAACAGATATTTCACAAACAAAAGAATACTTTACAGGACATTTAAAATTATTTGTGTATGATATGACTTCAAAGATTCATGCCTATGTGGCCAACCCATCAGGTTCAACATCCATTATGCCACTATATTCTACATAGCCAGAATATTTACCCAAAAATATGTTTTCGAACTGACATTGAATCAAAGATCAAAGCACAGTCTTGTGAGTGATGTTGTTCAGGACTTCATATATCAATGCTTGTTTCTTAAATGCAGAACTACACAATGGACTATCTGTGCTCTCTCTATTTTGAGGAATTTAAGCCAGGATTTCAGGGTTGTAAGTCCGTAAAATTACTGTTGACTGATCAAGGTACATAGCGAATCGTATAGTAGATTAGTTCTCTACGTTATTCATTATTTCCTTCTCTTCTTCACTGAAATTATAATATAATTGTAATCATTCTTCGCCGGAATGTAAAAGGTGTACACATCATAACAACATTTTTGTATCGAATGACTTATATAAACAGTGTTCCGGCGACTGCTACATTTGTTTTAACCAAGCAGGTTTGAAGAGCTCTGAATTGAGCTAAACATGGGCAATATAGTGCGGTTGGAATACATTTATTATACAAGCATTCAAGCATAGGAAGAGTCATTTAATCTCAAGATACCACTTGAGCCTTTTTGTACAAGGTTCAGCATTACCGACATAATTCCCTACTCATAGGCAGAACAAGTATCACCTCAGTAGAAGGACAAAAAACAAAGGCAACAATAATATAGAAATGCATGATCTATTTATTTATAATATGTGTATGTATTTATACATCTCATAAGTTGGGAATAATGAATTTACTATATAACGAACGCATAAATTATCCTATTACCGATTCGACTGTGATGTGATGACACCATGTTTTGGCAATTAGAGAATTTACTCTTTTGATCATCGCAAGCCATTTTTGGTGAAAATCTAAATATGTTTATGCTTTTAATGTATGAGAAAAATGTACATGTATTTCTATGTTACTGTTCAAACTAACTGAGCATCTCTAAGCAGACGAACATGATGCCATCTTGCAGGGTAAACATTACATTTGTTTTCACTATTCCTAACCAAATACATGTTTACTACGAATGGATTTAACAAGCTAACCATGAAAAAACGTTAGATACTCTAGCGCTAATTAGAGATTAATCTGAAATGAAAATAGCAATTGTGCATTGGAAGGATTTTTTTTTTTCTCAGCTAGAGAGAATGAGATGAAAAAGGAATATGAAAAGATTGGGCAAATTAGGTAGTTGAAAATTGTAAATTGTGCATTTTTCTAGATGTGATAGATTTGTTACTTCACGAAAAATACTGATGATTAAGAAAGTTAAATAAAAGTTTCAGGAACCAAATCAAACTTAATGTTGGTTTATTGAAACTGAATAGCAAGAAGACAGAGCAAGCTGGTTTGGGACAATCAGCCTTATATGTGAATGACTGTTCCGATGTAAAAAAAAAATCAAAAAAAATCCACTATTTCTTTGTTCATTTTTCACATTCAATAGTCCTAATACACAAAAAAGTAGGTATTTTGTCCAAAGTTGGATCAACGGGATGCTTTTATTTTTTAATTTTACTTATTACTTAGCATAATATTGAGCTTAAAAGTACTGGAAATGGAGTTTGTTTTTTCAGTGGGCCAATATTTTTATTTTAGAAAATGAATTACATGGCAGAAATGAATACCAAACAATAAACTATTGTCACTGGTTATAAAATATGAAAAAAACAAAAAACAAATTAGACACGGACGCCACACAAAAGGCAAGCGGGCGAAGATGAAAACCAGCCATATTTTTCAAGTTGCCACCCGTTGAAAGACTCGCGTAAAAATTATATTGGAAAGATTATAGCTTTTTTTCTAACTCCATTGTTATCGGAAGTAATAAGGTAATAAAAGAAACAACGTAATTATTTTAAAACATTAAGAAATAACTAGTTCAATACTACTATTAGTATTACGTGTTAATTTATTAAACATTTATGATTAAACTTTTAAGTTTAACATCAGACGTTCGCTGTTCATGCTGAGTGAAACTGAAAGACTGAACACTTAAGTTTAAATTTACTTCAACTTTAAGTCAGGCTTAACTTATGATTACTTCTTTTGACTTGTACTATTATAGTTGTAACCAGCAATACATATAAGTATAAATTCATCCAAAAATTCTATCATTAATATTACTATTCGATTTCTTACTAAAAACAGAGCAGAGCGTCTAAGGCTGGAGACAGTGGAGTGACTATCACCTACTTACTATGCTAAGATCTTCAGTCATGCTGTTACTATTACATAAACATTAGCATTACATTTAAAGAGGAGGGTTATGTTGGCCCATCTCCTGTTGGTCTAGGCATCCACTAAGCTTAACTTTTAAATTAAAACACTCAAAGCCAGCACTTGTCATTCAAATATATATCAATCATTTTTTTTATTATTATTAAATTGACTACATATCCCATATCTGAAGACAACTCATTCCAAAGACCAGCCATCTTGTTAGAGAAATCAAGCTCTTGTTTTAAACTTTCAAGAGAAAATTTCAGAGATTTCAACCTGTCCTCATATGACAACTTTCCATCTGTCATCCTAGTACTAGTAGTAGCCCTTCTCTGAACCATTTCCCTAATAATTCAATGTTTTTTCCTTTTTGCTTTAAATATGGGAGAACCAGTAATCTAAATAGTGACATTATAACCTCTTTAAACTTGTATTCATTATTTCTTTATATACAATCTAAAATTCTATTTGCTTTGCCACTAGCAACAGCACACAGTTTAGATGGCTTAGAAAACTAATAAACTGGAACACCAAGATCCTTTCCTTTCATAAAATTGGTAAGATTATTCCATCAAAATTATACTTGTGATACATTATGATAACCCACATACATTGCTTTCCAGCTATTATAATTAAAAGCCATCAGCCATTTTTTCACATTTCACCAAATAATCCAAATCCTATTGTAAGGCAGCACCATCTTTCTTACAGTTAGCAATACCCAAAACCTTAATTTCATCAACAAATTTATTATTTCTTCATCTAATGCTTTTCCAACCTGGAAAAATGAAGATCAAGCAAGCATTTGCCAATTTATTTCTATGTGAGTTTAGAAATAAGTCATCGGTAGCATAAATCTAATCTGTGTCACAATGGTCTAATTTCAGGTCATGTTCCTGTTAAGTTAGTTCCCATCTATTCTAGACACTTGACCCAAATTATGATAAACCAAATGCATTATTTTATGCCTACTGTGATTGAATGTAGTAGCTCAAAATCCTCACTACAGCTAGAAATACCCAGGAGTTTAATATCATTGGCAAACTTTACAAATTTTCTAATTTATTTTGTAATCAGATCCATAGCTTTCCTATAATTCTCTAAGTCTTTTGTGCTGTTTGTCAGTTTAAACCTCTTATGGCATTTACCATTGATTTTCTTTTTTATGTCTTCAGTAAGCAAGTGATTCCCCTTTTTGAACCTCAACTGCATTTTAATGGACACAGAAAATTAATTCTAATGCTGCAGAAACTGCCAAAGTTTGTGTTATAATTTCGTGGTCATAACCTTTTGTTTGCTAATATGTTTTTTCAATCTTTGATGAACCTTGCTTTGAACCATATACTAGACTGCTACTGACTTGTGGCTTACATGTGTTAATTGGAAAAATGACCAACCCTAAAAATTTTTGGTAACATCTATGAATAATGATATGATGTATGATCTTTTTTTCTTTATTTTAAGAACTTTGGAAATAGACCTTTAGAGAAATAAAAATGTACTTCCCAATCATCACTTATGTTTAAGGTGCATAAACATACAGTGGAATGATTACATCCTTTGTTAATGACTACACATTTGTTCAAAGTAAGGTTTAACATTTCAAAACATGAAACAGTTTCAGTTTAAATATATCAGAATGATAAAACTTGCATATTGTCATGATACTGATAGATGCTATGGAAAAAGTAACTTGAGGTTTTTCTATGAAGACTTGGTGGTAATAATATTTTAGTAAGATAAAAGTTTTAACTTGTTTGGTAGGTTAAGCTATCTGCAGCTTCAGATGAGCAAGTACATTTCATGAAGGATGACATGCTGATGTAATCATGGAGGTGTTGAAAACAAATACTGAATCTTTTCCTGATGAGCAAAGTGGTTTGTTGTTAGAAAATGGAGAAGAAACTGAACAAACACCACTTTGTTGTAAGTTTATTTACACTTTTTTTTTTTGCTAGGAAATTTTTTGGTTTTTAATATTGTGGTTTATGTTGCCTTTTTAGTGTTAACAATTATATCAAATTTTTCACTTTTGATCAAATTTTTTAAAATTTCATACAGAATTAAGCCATTTGCTCACCTATGTCATAGCTTTTTTAACAGTAATATGAAGATGTATGTTCTTGCTTGATGTTTAACTAAATGTGCATGATGTTGGTCCATTGGACTGACCCCTTATTGGAGAAGTAATTTAAATATAATTCAAAACTTATAAAGTGTATCTTTAAAAAATGTGTCAGGATTTTAGTAAAAAGTACAAGTTTGTTGTACAGAAAAAAATCAGATGTGTTAATGAAATTTTTATACTGAAGATATGTCTGTGAAATGACAGTCAGCCTGACTATAAACTCTGACAAGCCAGAGTGCAAAGTAATGTTCAGATAAGAATAAAAATACTTTTGTTCATCATACAGATTACAAATTAGACTTGCATAACTTCTGCAACCTCTTAAATGCATATCTAAAGTTTTTATCAGTGTTCCTGTATGTTGTATCTGGTATTTTCTCTAACCTGACACAAACTGTTGTAAAATCAACAATATAGGGTAACATGAAAAGTTGGTAACATTCATAACACCATGGATGGGGTCGGGGCATGCATACTTAGACTCCCACTTCAGTAAGCATGTGGCTTCCTATTTGTACCTCATTTGCATTTTGATGGGCACAGAAAATTCAATTTAATGCTGCAAAACTCCGAAATGCTTACATTATAAAAATCATATTTGTAAACTCTTTCTCATTCATAATGTTTCTTCAGTCTGTGATGAACCTTGCAATGAAGCAAGTACTAGACTACTGTTGACTTGTGGCTTACTTTGGCCTATATGTGTTAAAGACTTGAAAAACAACCCATTGGTTAACCAGAACACTAAGATCCTTTTCTTTTGCAGCATTGTTTAGGTTACCCCATCAAAATTACATTTGTAATAAATTATAACTCGTACATTACCTTGCAGTTATTATAATTAAAAGCCATCTACTGTTTTTTTTGTTTTTTTTTTGCATGGCTCACCAAATAATCCAAATCCTTTTGTAAAACAGCAGCATCCTACTCGCAACCAGCAACACCCAAAACCTTAATATCATCAGTAAATTTATTATTCCTTCATCTGATGCTGCTCCAGAAGTAATGTTGAATATAATTGTGATCTTATGAATTGTATCTTAACAAATTTTTGCAAGCTTTTAGTAAATGATACAAGTCTGTATGCAAAAAATCAAATGTATTAATAAAGTTTTTGTACTAAAGATGTGTTTGTGAAATGACAAAGTTTGTAATTTAAGACTCGAAATATCCAACACTTGCTGTTTGTGTATTCATATATATATATATGTTTATTGGAAGAGTACACTGTGAAACAAGCAGTCACATACCTTTTGGAAACTGTCTGAAAGACTCGTACAAAAAATATTTAATATACAATGTGTTATGTGAAAGAGCAAAGAAACAGTAAAACACAAAAATAGATTTAAATATTAAGAAATAGGAGCATAAATAGTGTTTCTGTACCTACTTTATTATATGGTCATATTAATGCTGTTTATTTATCTTGTATAACAATGTTGCAAAAACAATGCAACTTTATATGCATGTTCATGAATTCTACACAAATAGGCCATAAGCAGAAAATGTTGCATATAAAGGACAGATAAGTGAAACTAGTGTACAAATTATAATGTGAAAATAGTAAAAATGTGTTACACACTGAAGTATAACCCATATGGTGGTGGTGGTGGTGATACAATATGAGACTTAATCTTTGTTTAGAAGTCTTACCTGTGATAGAAAGTTATAACAAAAATGTAACTTAAAGTTAGTAACAGATATGGTGCTCAAGTCTCACTGTTCAACATTTGCAACTGCTATTCATTATCTAAAGCCAAGTATACAAAGCAGGATCATTAACTCAAATGTAAGAGAAATATTAAACTAGGACTAGAAAGTAGTGAGGGCCAGAATAGTGAAGAAAAAATAAGATGTAGAGAAAAGTATTGTGTAGGAACAAAGTATGTAGGTAGTTTTAATGATAGGCTCAACTTTTATTATTGTAATGCTTGAAATATAAGAAAAAAAAATGGATCAGAACAAAAGGTTTTGAATGGGAATAACTCAAACCTGGTTAAATATAGACAATTTGGATGACAAGAATTTTTTGAGATACAGGGTTATAGGTTGTTTAATAGGGATAAAGTACTAAAAAGAGGGGAGGAGTAGCTTTATATGTAAAATGTGAGTTACAGCCTTTTCAAGTTGAGGATATCAAAGTTAATGGCAGTGAGGTTGATTTTATTTGGGTTTCTGTTAGTGATTATAAGGGGAAACGTTTTTAGTTAGAATTTGTCAGAGACTACCAGGTGAAATTAATTAGAAATTAAAGTGAAATAAAGAATTCAGCTGTTGATGAGATTGTAATTATTGGAGATTTTAATTTCAGGCATATAGATTGGGAAAGATAGAGAGTCAATTCATGAGGGAAACAGGTTTTTAGAAACTTTTCAGGGTAGCTATCTTCACCAATTGGTCAGTGAATCTACTAGGAAAAATGCTGTTTTAGATTTATTGTTAACTTGGCCTTCTTGTCACATTGTTTATAAGAGTCAATATTAGTTCAGCATTGTATGAACATGTGATTTTTTTTTTTTTTGCTATTGTTACCTAGAAACAAGTGGAGTTTAGCTGTTCCATTTTGCAAGAGCAAAAGTTTTTTTTTATTAATGTTGTAGTTGACTATATTAATGGTAACTTCCAATACATATTGTTAGGTGTACTTTATGTAAATAAGACCAACCACAAATGTAGAAGGAAAACCATTGTTCATTTGGAAATAAAAGTGTGAGAAGGTAACCAGTGTGAACAACTTTTATTCAGTCAATCTGTAATATTTGTTTGAAGTACTTTTATGGGTATAAAATAAAATAGAAGTGACAACTGTAATAGTTTCACCCTGAGACATCAAGAAAACAGGTAAGTCATAAATTAGGTTAAATATATTCTTTCTTCAACAAATACCATCTACTAAATTTTTTTGTAAATATATACGTACTTAATTTTACAATATAACGACTTGCATTTTTGTAATTAATTATATTGTATATTTCTTGCAATTAATTTCGTTTTTGAGGACCCATGGGTCCAGGGTTTGCCCAACCTTCTCCCACTATTCCTAGACTTCTTCCTCAAACTGCCGAACTCGTTCTGGATGACATCTATTTTGACGATATTCCTCCACCTCATTCTTTATTGGCCTTCCCATGGCCTCTACTGCATAGTCTGCTAGGCCTACCTCAGCCCCTTTTATACATGTTTCACAGTTGTTGTTTTTTATTCTTTTTTTCCCCTCCTTTTATCACACTATGGTGGGCCTTTTCTTCAGGACTGAGGATGCCATAGTCGACGTTTTGTATTCTTATTCCCATTTTTTATTCCTCATGGCACTGTCTTAAGTTTGTTCACCATGGGTTTGGGTACTAGTTTCGGGTATTGCCCTTCAAGCTTGTTTCAAATCTGTATGTCTTTGACTCCAGTTCCTCACCCACCTACCTTGGCTGTCGATGTGTTCAGACAGGATTGGGACCTGTTTATACCTTTCTTTTCTTATCCCATTCGTCATCTTTACCGGGTGATTTTGTTCATCCTTTCCACTTTGTGTCAGGTCTTTCTGATTGCACCTTCCTGGTCAACACAGATCTGGTTTTTCTCAGCTGCTTCATCTTTATCTGTTCTTTTTGTTCTGGATTGATTTTTCCTACCCTTGTGTGACAAGTACTCGCTATTCATTTCCTTCCATCTCCCTTCTTTAATGCTAGTTGTATCTGGTTGGTCTTATAGGTCCCATGCCTGCTCTAGGTTGCTTCATTGCCTTCAAGGCTTCTTTCTGTTGATTCCTTTTCCTGCTGTTTGATTCCTTAGCATCACTGCTCTGCTTATGACTTTTTCCCATACCCTTTGGATTTGGCTTTTGATTCAATTGGCCTTTTCTTCCTTGTCTCCTTTTTCCCCGTAATCAATTCCTGGTGTCTTCACTCTGATTAGGCACCTTCCGTCTTATCTCATCTCACCCTTGTTATACGTTGGAGGTCCTTCTTCCATCGAGCACTGGGACTACACATCATACATTTATCTCTCATTATCTGCTTTGGGTAGCTGTTTCTTTCTAATTTCCATGGGCACTAAACGTGCACTGTTGAGATGGGATGTTCCACAAGATCATTCATAGGTTTTTCCTTGCAATATATTTGCTTCATTAATATGCCAATTATGGACTGTACTCATCCATAAACTTCACAGGTAAAGCAGAAGGAGATAGCTGCTCATCCCTGCCATGTCTTCGATTAAATAAATCAGTATGGTCTCTTTTCAAAATAAGGGTTTCGTTGTCACCTGTTGCACTGTCTGTGGTGTTGACATTCCTCTGGACTCTCCCCACTTTTTCATCCAGTGGAATATGGGAGTTATTTCACTTTCCAGTTCTCAGCCACTGAGGTGGTGGAACATGGAGGCATCCTCCTGGATGTGATAATGATATACGATACAAATAATGATAAAACCATTCAGTTGAGAGTAGAGCGGTGGTCTTCTGCTGATGTAGATGACAAGATGTCCTCCAATCTGATGCTCCATTTCTGCACTGGTTTATCTGAGGAGATGTTGTAGCTTTGGAGTGAGCAATCAAAAGTGCAGTTCACCCATCGATTGGGATCCCTCATTCTACCCCCACATGGATGTCAGTTCCTAGTGGCTGAGTTTTGGATTCAGAGCTGAACCAATCAGCATTAGTCCTCACACATGTATTATAGGTTTCTCCGTTTCCTCATTCAGTTATATTCTTGTTCCTTCTACCTGTGTTGTGGGT